GCAAAAACATATAAAAATTTAGAAAATTTAAAGAAAAATTTAATAGTAAAAATTTTTAAAGTAAGAGCTTTAAACTTCTATTACTCTAAAGATTTCTAATAAAATTAAAAAATTTCCATAATAAAGCTTATAAATAAAATATTGTATATATGAATTATACCTTATATAATTAATAATTTTTAATTTTATTTAAAAAATTGTAAATACTTTTTAAAATTCCAGGCAAATTTGCCTGGAATATGGTTTAAGAGATAAAAAATTAATTATTAATTAATAATTTAAATTATAGATGAAATATCATTAGATAAAAATGATTTTAGCGAAGAAGACCCTGATGATGATAATGAAATGCAATTCTTACCTAGTACTATAATTGCAAAACTTAAAGAGATTATTTATAACTTTTTATAGCACTATTGGCAAGATTTGGAACAAATTAAACTAATGGCCACTTTATTGGATCCACAATTAAAGGCAATGAATGGTTGGCCTATAGAGATACAAAAAAATACAATTAATAAGCTGTGTATTGAATATCAAACTTGGCAAAGTACTGTTAAAGCTGATGATACAGAAGCTCATCAAGAAGAAACTGCTACTTCACATTTTATGAGAAGAATTTTTAGTACTAGCAATGGTAAACAAGCAAATAATAGATAATTATTTAAATAAAATAGCCCGTAAATACATATCAATCCCTGCCACTTCAGTTTCTAGTGAACGTCTTTTTTCTGATGCAGGGAACCAAATCACTACTAAAAGAACTCGATTATTATCTGAAGTTATAAATAAAATAATGTTTGTTAAACATAATTCTCAGTATTGTAAAGTTTGGGAATAATTATTTTAATAAACAGAATATTTAGACGAATAGATGTTTCTACTAACCTTTATAACTTTTGTGATCTAACTAATGATGACTATAACTTTTTTAACTATATATATTGTCATGGCTAAAGCTTGAAACAGCTGCTTAAAATTATTTAAAAATATGAACCCTACACAAATCCACTTATACTTTTTTATTATAAAAACTAACCCAAAACTAAAAAAAAACCATAACAAAAGGCCCAAAAAATTTCAAAAAATTTCAAGCTCTAGTCTTAACTATTAAATTACTAAACTTCAAAGTGCATAAAATTTAAAAAAACTCTTTCCGGTTCTCTTCTGGAAATTTGGTGACAACAAAATTACTACACAAAACTCGCCACTTTTTATACAAAAACAACAAGGTGCTTCAGGGGGAGGCCCTTACATACAAGAAACGTAAGCAAGATAGTATGGAAATATCTAGTATATATAACCCAGAGTTCAACAGAAAAAATAAAAAGGCAAGAACTTCAGCTACCGAAGAAGAAGAAAATTTAGCCAAAATTTGGAGAACAAGCTATAAAGATGCAGAAAACAAGGAGTTGCTCCAAACAGTAGACCAGAACTCAGACAACACAGTTACATTGCAAGCAGTAGTAGTATGCAGGAAAATATAGCAGAAAAAACCAAAGTGGTAGAAAAAGGAAACAGCTAGTTTACCCAAACAAATAACGTGTTTCAAGACTTGGCAAAACAAACAACACATGTGCTCAATAAAGTTAACAACAACAAACACGTGGACAAACACGTAAGCAACCAATTTAAGAAGTCAATAAACAAACAGAACCCAAACAATAGTCAAGTCTGTTTTCTAAGCTCAAATGAGGCAAAGCAACTTTCTTAACCTACTCTCCAAGAAAGAGAATTCATACTAAAAATGAAAACGTTTTAATCTTTGAGCTACACAACTTAGAAAATTTTCCCACTTCTGATATTGTGGAAGCAATGGCAACTGTAATCGGTGAAGACCTTATTGCAGCCAAACCAATCTTTACAAGAAACTGAAGATCCCATTTGGAGGTCATCTTTACAGATGAAGAGAAGCAGTAGTTTTATGCAGCAGAAGGTCTTGTAATCTTTAAACAAACTCTCCAAGGGTATATTCCAGTAAATATTAAATGAAGCTTTTTATCAGTGCGGCTTTGAAATATGCCTATGGGCAAAAAGGATTTTATTTCAGAGCAAATCGAAGAAGCTTTTAAAGATATTGGCAATATTTCCTCCATTAAACTATTGGTGTATAAAGGGACATCAGTGCTTACAGACCAATGGGTAATGATTTTTGAAACAACAGATGATCCAGATCTGATAATGAGAATACCCAGGTTTATACATATTTGGGACCAAAAAGTTACAACTGATTGGAAAGAAGTTCCAAAGGTGTGCTACTTCTGTGACAAAACAGGCCATATCAAAAAAAATATCAAGAATACCAAACATTAGTTGCGTTAAGAAAAATACAAACAAGCTCAAAATTAGAGACATTCTCAAATGGCATTGAGTACTGAAAATCTATATAATAAAGAATCAGAGAATATCATGTTTATTGATACAACAGCAAAAGATTCAGACACAAACAGTATGGTGTTAGATAAAGAGGTT